CGTACCATTGAGTGAAACCGGAAAAAAGAGAGGGCGCCATAGTTTTCTCCAGGGTGCGAATCTTGAAGAGGTCTTATTAGAGGGATGGACGTGCGAGGACTATTATCATGACCGTGCGGAAGAGACAGCGGTGAGGCGAACACTCTTTCCTCCACCTGCTTACACACAGCAAATGACACAAGAATGATGACCTACCGACCTTCCTCCTCGGTCACTAGTCTAAAAATTCCAGGAAATTTTCGGCATCCCCGGCTCAGTCCTGACGTCAAACTAGTCGTTCTCCGAACCAATTCTACAATGAGATTAGGGAGAATACGAATTTTTACCTCTCGGATGAGGTCAAACGATCGGCCACGTAAGCGAACCAGTGTAAGTATGATCTCATCGCCACTCAAATTTACGCTGACGCAGGAACGAGCACAAGCCCCGGGTATGTATTGTAATATGAAGAGACAGGGCACAAGAAGACAAGTACCAAAAATTGAACGTGAAAGTAGAGCTATTCCGATGGAAAGAAAAGGAGTCAAGGGGTGAGTGTTCATTCACAGACCAAAGGGGTATCATCTTGCTAGCCGCTTGCAGACCCACCGGCTAACCATAACCCTCTCTCTACTGTTGACTTTGGGCGGGGCGCTGGTTCACACCCTCTTTCAGTGCAAGCAATTGCTTTGACCGGAAGGCTTCGTAGTGGATCTGCGCCGTGGTCTCAATTAGGTCCTGCAAATGAGTCCTGGAGAGCAGAAACGGACAAGTCAGCAGGCAATGACGACATAAATCAGGAATTGATCGTACCTCGTAAGGAAGTTGCGAAGGTTCATGAATTCGCAGTGGTTAGGGTCTTCAACATTAACAACACCCCAGCGATTTTTGCGCCCTCGGACAGACTTGCCATCAATTATCACAGTGTTCTCCGAGCCCACAATCGCGAAGGGGACAATGCTCTGAGTGTGGGTCAAGTCATTCAGTGGTCGAGGAACACAAATAGTCGAAGCGCACCCTGATGCTGGCATTGAGCTGTATCTCCTCTTCGTCGTCCTCATCCGTATCGAAGGGATAGAGTCTAATGTTATCGTACTGCAGCTCCTCACGAATTTTCATCTTGAAGCGCTCCCTTTCCTCAGGGGTTAGGCTATCCGACTTGGCGATGACAGGGACAACGTTGACGACTTCGCTCAGTTTCTTCATGACTATGACGTCGATGGGGCGAAGAGCGTGGCCGGTAGGATTGATGAAATACAGGCAGCAATGGATGCGTGTATCTTGAATGTAGCGGTCACGCATGGCAGTGAGCTCCTTGCGAAGGTACGCGCTGTGCTGGTCCTTGATGTACTTCACGATAGGATCCCAGCTGTGCACGTTGGAATGTAATGACACGTAATAAGCAAATGAATAATAGAAGTTCTGAAAAACGTACCAGTTCTCGTTGTTGACCTGATCTCCATACCCAGGAGTATCCACGATGTTGAGGCGCAACTTGACGCCGTTCTCAACAATCACTGTCGAAGGAGGAAATAGTCAGGTTTCGGCTTTTTTGATGGAAAATAACAAGGTGGCATGGGGGAGTTGTGCATAAGCTCAATGTAAGGGCAGGAAGGTTGAAATGAAGGCAGGAAGCAAGGGGATGAGAAATATACCATGGGAGACAGCCTGAATCTCCGTTGTCTTGCGGACGGGCTCATCTGCCGCGAAACGGCCCTTCGAGTCGATGAGGTGCGACGCGAAAATGGTGTTGATTAGCGTCGACTTGCCCAGTCCAGTCTGACCTGCTCGTGTGTAATATAGAAACGAGGAGACCGTCCAGAGTAAGGAAACAAGTAAATCCATTTAGAGTTCAAGGCGAGGAAAGATTACAAGGACGGGGAAACAAGAAACAAGGATGATTAATAACGCAGGTTTAGTATTCTGTCAAAAATTGAAAAAGATGTACGCACCGACAACAATGACGTTGAACTGGAAACCTCGCTTCAAGAGCTTGTGCTCGATTTGCTGGGTGATGCTGTCGAACCCGACGTAGGACTCCGCGCGAATCTCTTCAGACATAATGTATCCTGGAAATGAGGGGGATTATTGTAGAATTAAAAGAAGAGACAGGACAGGAAGAAGGGCGAGGGTATGAGATAGCAGGCGACGAGCGACGTGGTTCGAGGATTTGTGCGTGGTGGCAAATTTGGCTTCGTAGTACACAAATGTCAACAACTCCAGTGGCTTTGAACATCTAATCATATTCGCAGTATAGTGAAACTGCTCTCACATTGTCCGAACCTGCTTACAGTCTTCTAGTTGCTATGTTGGGTTGCTTTTTTTTATAATTTCCACGCAATGCTTTGGGAGAACGAAGGAACGAAACGTAAAGTCTCGAAACCAGCGCGGAGTAACTTGAGGCTAGGCATTCTACTGTGCACGCTTCAAAGTTCTACAGTCTTGACTCTGACATTCAATTGATTCATAGACATTACCACGTACATCTATGCGGAAGTAATGCGTTTCGGCCGTTAATACTTGGCTCAAGTGTGAAAAGAGATCGACACTTTCATATTTCTGAACAGTACTGGTCTTGACGTCGACATGAAACGTCACAATGTGCGGCAACAACTTGCCAAATCCAGATGGTCAACCTAGACTATCTAGATGTGCATGTACCTGTCACCACGCAGCCTATACCAATACGCTCACGTCTACGGCTTGGACCCCTTTATATCCTGTCTTGTCAAATGTGAAGGCATCCACTGCACCGCCTTGAACTCAAGATCGGACACTCAGCTGTTGCCCACCGTCTATACCCTCTATTGGAGTGATCAGATCAATACAGACGCCCATGGGCGCTCAGTTCCATTCGCGCTTCGAAGGTCAGTGTTTCCCTACCCATGGGGCATCCTTCTTACTATGGATAGAAATCGGCACTCTATCTACGGCGCTGTCTCACATGTACCGTTTTGCGCGCCACTCTCGTGAGCAATCAATGCAGAAGTCTGCCACATACATTATTCCACCCCTGTACAAAATTGTGTTTCGGAGCCGTGTATTTACACGCGCATGTGTACTTGTCTTTGAACGCAGATATTCTCCACGTGGACTACTTGTGTACCGCGTCTAGATTGAATTGTTCAATTATAGACATAAGCATCAGGGCGGCTGTGTAGACCCCACCTCACCTTTTACTCATTGACTTCAAGTTCGCATCCTTCTCTGCATCGCCTTCAGAATGAATGCACAAACGGCACCTCTTTTTGTACTGCCTTATTCGTATTTAACTTCCAGCAGGCACTATTCAAGCAACTTCCCCCCACTCAATCCACTCCAATCCCACCACACGATATCCCACGCATTCTCACACAATGGGCAACTCCTCGTCGTCTCAATCCCGCAAACAGGAGAAGTACAGACACGGCCCAACCGTACACCAGAGTCGCAGCTTTCCAAACTATTCCGACGACAACAGTTTCTTGGCCCCTCATACGCAAGGACATCAAGCACTCTCAGCGTCGGCGCCGCCACACATTGGTAGCTCACATTTTGCGCCGCCACCTTATGCGGCCCTTGATGATAGCACTCTAGGGTTAGGTCACACACCACCAGACAAACCTCTTGAGACAGAATCAGAATACGCCTTCCCTTCGCCTTCCCCGAGAGCTCAAAGTATGGAGAAACATGTGTCATAGAAACTTGATGCTGATAATAATATAGATTTGCGAACCCCCATGCGCGCAGGCACGATGGAAGATGCTCTGGAGACCTTGAGGAAGTTCAACACTATCTTCATAGTCGATGACTCGGCTTCGATGCTGACCGAAAATCGCTGGGGACAAGTGTGTTCAAATACGAAGTGTCGTGCAATCTATCTAAGCTCATTTTCTAGGCAAGGGCAGCCCTCTCAGGCCTAGCTAATTTGGCTGGGCAATACGATAACGATGGAATCGATATATACTTTCTCAACTCTTCACAAGTCGGGAGAGACCTCAGGGTACGCTCCATTCATATATAGCCAGATTAACCGTTAACGGCGATGAATGGGATGGTTAGGATGCACGCCAAGTTGTTAATCTATTCAACCAGATTCGGATTCAACCGTTCGCTGCCACTCCCATCGGGGATAAGCTTGAGGAACTTCTGCAGGAATACATGAACAAGATCGAGTCCGTTGCCAAGAATCTGCCAGCACTTAGGAAGATAAAGCCTGTGAACTATATCGTTTTGACCGACGGATCTCCTAGTATGTACCCAGCACTTGGTCCAGGACGCCAAGATTGATCCAAAAATTATAGGCGATGATCCAGAATCTGTAATAATCCAAACTGCACGGCGGCTAGACACGGGTCACTTCCCAATTTCCCAGGTCAGTATATCTTAATCATAGAAAAGGCGGCGGCATTTACGTTCCGCACAGGTTGGCATCCAATTCGTCCAGGTTGGAAACGACCAATCAGCAACTGCTTATCTCAATGAACTCGATGATGGTTTATCGGGAAAGCACGGTATACGAGTGAGGCATCGGTAATTTGTGTAACTATACCAAATCTAATGAATGAAACACAGGACATCGTCGACACAACCAAATACAGTGATATTGGTGGTTCGCTGAATTCAGATATCCTTATCAAAATATTGTTAGGGGGTATAAACCGGAGAGTGGACAAGGCTGGAGCAAGGGCATTACGTTGAGATGAAATTGAAACCTCAGTCGACCATTAATTTCAGATGTATTTACATAGCTTAAGCTTATAGATACACACCGTGTTCTCCTTGTAATATGAGATGCAGTTCTTCTCAAATCACTTTCAGGGAGACAAATGTGAGGCATTGTGTGAGAACGGATTGAGTAGTAGAGGTCTGTATGGGCGCTATAGCCAAGTGGTTACGGCGACAGATTAGAAATCTGTTCCTCTTTGAGGGCGCAGGTTCAAATCCTGCTGGCGTCGGCAAGCTCCTCTGCTTTCATTTTAAATTCTCGTTACATCGACGAAAATCTATTCACGATTAGTGGAGGCCGACGAGAAGACTAGGGCGCTATAGCCAAGTGGTTACGGCGACAGATTCGAATTCTTCTTCTCATCTGTTCCTCTTTGAGGGCGCAGGTTCAAATCCTGCTGGCGTCGGTCAGTTCAGTTTTTTGTGTGTTATATTCGTCACTCCATATCGAAGTGATGTGGCGTATGTCCAAGTTGCCTGTTTCGCGGCCGTCGACGTGAGGTAACCACACAATTCAGGGCGCTATAGCCAAGTGGTTACGGCGACAGATTAGAAATCTGTTCCTCTTTGAGGGCGCAGGTTCAAATCCTGCTGG